TACCCAGACGGTGCTCTGTAACCGCTGCTTTGGATTGTGTTACTGTTCTCCTGACATTTTTTTCCCTTAGCTTCACATGTATTTGATGTCAAGAGACACCCATCCATCACTCAGCGAAGCAGATGCACGGTCTAGGCAGAAAAAGAATCAAACCTTTAACAATTTTGCTTTTGAAATGTTGAGGTGATCTTATTTCATCTGTGCTTTTAAGGTACACTTATTAAAAATACATGTACTCGAATCTGTGATTTATATAGATAGCAAGTGAAACAGACTCCCTCCTACAATTAATTATGCCTACAGCTACCTCAACTAGAAGCGTTTATTCTTGTCAGGTTAAAAAAAAAAAATCTCTTCTGCCCACAGATATATAAGTAATTTAAAAACAGACTGTAGTAGGAGAAAATACTGCTTTCCAAGAAAGTGGTATGAACTATATGGATACAATTTTGCTAATGTGAGTTAACGGCAGATTTGGCTTTAGAAAAGATGAAGCAGTTAAATGTGAAGGGGGTATTTGTTATAGTACTTTTATTCTTCTTACACAATTGTAGGATATGATTTCTCCGAGTCTGTCATTTGGCCAAGAAGCCCTTAGCTGTTACAGGCATTTTCACATTAATAATACCAAAATGGGTTAAGAACAGTCAAGCGTTTACAGCTCCTTTCTGTTTTTCTGAAGTCCTTGTCTCACTGGGATCAGCCAATGTTGGGTTTTTTTTCCTGCTCTGTCATTTCTTTATGGTAAACTTGCATTTTGTAACAGATATTTTTGTTCTGAGTCCATTTTTTTTTTTTAGCATGGTGGGATGAGGACTGCCAGCTGCCCTGGTCAAGGTCAGTAGTGCCAGCACAGTTCTGGCAGTCTCTTTGTACATGGCTTTGCCTCGCGCTAGTCCCCAGTATCTGTTTTCAAACAAAATCAAAATACTGTTCCCCATCTCCAGAAATCCACAGTTTCTGCATCTGGAAAGAGGATTTCTGACCTTTTTGTTGAATGTTTCATATGGATATGAATTGATACTTTGAGCCTGATCAGTTCCATTTATAACATATGAGGAAAGCTTTTTGATTCCAAAGTCGCATCAATTTATGCAGTAAATTGGCTTGAATTTTGATAGAAGTGGGAGAGAGAGGATTTTAAGTCGGGTTTTGTGGTGAACATACCTAAAAAAAAAAACAAAACAAAAACAAAACTGTGTGTAAACCCATAATTAAAACCAGGAGATCTTTGTAGTTTAACAGATTTCAAAATAGAAATAGACCTCTGGTAGCTGACAACAAACTGTGCTTTCCGTAAGAAAAACACTGTCTGCAATAATGATGGACAAATTTGACTATTTGGCAGGAATTTTTGTCTCCCAAGCTTTAAAGGGCTTTTGCTGACCCTGTTGTAAATGGGAAGAAGCTGGTTTGGCCACTGGAGGCCACCGGGCAGCTCAATGAGGTGGGGCAAGCTCAGCCCTGTGTGACACCATCAGCCCCAGTCCAACGAAAGTGGGCCGAGTCTGCAATGCAGACAGTTATGGTTAAAAATTTATAAGCGACTGAGCACGTAATGTTCAAATAAAATATGTTCCCATTTTTATATTAAGATCTAGATAGACATCCTCTTCATCATCAAAACCCAGGCTTTATTATTTGGATTTTCTTTCTTTCAGAAAAGTGAAAAATTCAGAGCATTCCTAAATGGTGAGGCAGGGGCAAAGCTCAACTCTAAATATTGAGTGTTTGGCTTCTTGTGGCTCCTCTCCCCACAAATTCTCAATTTGCCTTCAATAAACTGTTGCTTTTTCCCCTTTTCCTTAATACTACCGTCACCCATTGGATCTTCTTACAGAATGTCTCAGGTTCAGATCAAGAGTTTGGGGTTTTTTGGAGTACCCTCCAAGTTATTTCATTTCCAGAGGTTCAGTGGAGCCCAGACCAGAAGTTTCATAGAGCTGAGGCCAGGAATCTTGTTTCATGGGTCTGCGAAAGCCAAGAGCGTTTCGTACTTTCAGAGCTACCGAAGAGGGCAGTTGTTCTCCAGGGCTTCTATCGCTCTAGTGCAAGGCTGGGCTGGGCTGGCTGCTGTCAGTATCTCAATAAGTAACCAAGTAAGACACCTTGGCAGCCCTCATTTGTCTTCTCCAGGTGAGCAGGCATTGTGATTTCCACCCAGCATTTTCATCACTGAGCTGCTCTGATGGTCGCACTACCACCCACCAGCTGTTTGGAAACTGCATGTGACTCCAGGGCCATCCCGTCTTGGGGTTATCTTCAGCATAAAGCCCCTGGATTGGGAAGGAGGTTGACTGTTTCTTTTTCATTTTTTCCTCCTCCTGTAGTGTGGGAAGAGTTGACAAGATTTTCCTCTGCTCAGAAGAAAGTGAAAGAAAACAGCAGGGATACCTGAGCCGGGTCATTTCTTCTTCATATACTTGTCTACATGTCTGCCTCTTTTTTATTGTTGTCTTTTAATGCCTCATGCACAGGAGTTGATGTTTCTGCAGCACAAATTCCTGCCTATGCCATCCTTCAGTTTTAAGATTCTTCTATTGCTTAATCAGTTTCTTCACTTCTGTTGCAGCAAACATCCCCAGCACTGACAAGAGTCTGAAATATTTACCGAAGTCTTCAAAGTGCAGGCTGGACTCTGTGAGTGTCCTCATCGTGCGTAACCTCCAGAGCAGGGGATACCGGTAGGGCTTGGCACCATGTCCGCGTTAGCAGATGTTCTGGACTGATAGTCACCATACCAGAGCTGTTCTGAGCATGGTCCTAACTTTGCAGGAGCTGTGTGGCACAGAACCTGCACCTCAGGAGAGACTTCTCCTCCCGTAGCAATATTCCAGTCTCTTCATAATCTCCACAGAGTGCAGAGGACACTCTTCCTTCTTGCACTTTGCTTCCACAGTGAATGTTAAATTTGGATTTGAATGAAATAGGAAATATTTGGGTGACGTCCCAGAGGGAAAAGGAACTGAATGCCATCTCAAGAGAGTGGAAAGCAGTTCTTTGCTAAGTATCGGCCGTACTGGTACCAAATTGATTGGTAGCAACCAACTTTCTGAAGAAGTGGGAGAGTCGGGATTTGGCTGGACTCATTTTCAAGTCTTCAGATTTACTTGATCTAGTTACTTGTGAGGAGCAGAACATGTTTTGAAGCATCATGAGCATGTAGGAGAAGAGTTGGAGCAATGCAGAGACTTCTGGAAAGCCAGTTTCCAGCTGCCTTGCACAAGGCGTGAACACAAATGTGTCTCCGTGTGATAACTTACCAAAAACCCCTCACCAGAATTCTCATCCTTACGCACTCCATGTGCCTTTGAACAGGCTGGCAGTCCAGGCTGGTGAAGTTTCCCTGCCCTTGCAGCTGAGAGGGGAGACTGACATCCAAGAACAGTGTTGACCAGTGCACCACAGGTCCTGGAGTGATCAAACGACATCATCTACAGCTCCTTTGGGAGCAGAAATTCGTGCGGTTACCTATGGGAAACCAGCTGGGGTTCCACCAGAGATCCTACCCTTTTTAATATAATGTTCTTGAAGTAAAATAATACATGTTTTCTGCCAGCTATGGCTGTCATAACAAATATCTTAACTGGAAGTTGGGAACTTGAAGTTTGTTTGTTACTGTCATCTTGCAACAGAAAGCTCACTATACGTACTCCCAGGGGCCAGCAGAATTCCCATGACCCGATCTCCCTGTAGGTCCTTAGGACTGCAGGCTATAGGTTCTTTCACTTATATACTACAGCAACGAGTAGAAACAGAAGGAACAAGGTCGTCGCTTTGATGCTAGAATGTGATTTGTCTGTGGGCTTGATATTTTCAATTTCACATCAAATCTCAAATGCCATCCTTTCTGGATCTCCAAAACGCACCCCGTAGTAAGTCCTCTCTGCAGAATGGTTTCTCAGTCCCTCTGTCCTGGAAATGCTGCACAAGCAGAAACTTTTGTTCATCCCTTTCCAGTACAAGTGCCAACAGATCTTCCCCAGGGAGAAAGCAAGTCCAGGCTTGCTGCCAAATGCTTTTACCTTGTCTTAGGCCCTGGCATTGTTTTATGTCTTCTTTCCAGTTCTTATAATCTCCTGGACCGTTGGGAGGCTCGTGCAGGTCTCGGGCCACATCATTTTGATAACCCAGCTCAGGACAAGCAGTGCTGATTCTAAAAGTGACAAATTTCTTGGACAATCGACTCATCATCCTTTCATTCTTTTCCAAACTCCCATGACAGCGCTAGAGACAGATGTTAGACCCTGAACCCCACTCGCAGACGCTTCTCTTGAATCTTTGCCAGGCACTATTCAGGAGAGAAAGAACAGTCAACCGAGACGTAGGACATCCATATGGTAGGGCGGCCTTACTTAGCTTTACTGAAGTGGTGAAGAAGTTCATCAGGTGGCTCAGCTTATCCACTCTCTGAAGAAGTGTCAGTAATTCCTGGCAGTTTAAGATCCGTCTTATCTTTTTCTGAGCATGGCCTAGCTGTATCTAATATCTTTATAACGTATATGTATCTGTTTATCGTATACATGTCTGTCGCTAAGTCATCTTTGTCACCTGGAGGTTCAACGCTCACATGCGTGTTTATACATCAGATTTTTGCATGTTGCAAGCATTATTCCTACGGAATTTTCATAATCATCGCTGCATGCCGAAAGTCTGCTGACATCTTTCTTCTTTTTATACTTGACAGAGATGTATTGCAAAGCGCCTGTCTCATGCCCTGCTTCCTCTGAGGTGCCCAGCAAAAGAGAGAAAACATTGAAAACAAGTAGCTGGTTACGTTGTCTTTTTCTCTCCTAGGCCTGCACGTGTCCTTGCAATGACCTCCTTTATCATTATTTTTATCTCCTTTATGGTATTTTGATCACGTGTG